GTGTGCTCCCATGGGTGCCCCATGTCTAAGCCCTCGGGCAGGAAGCTGGAGATATGGGTGGAATGTGGCAAAGCACTGTTCTACTTCACCTGCCCAAAAGCTGACTGAAGCCTGTACAGAAGTGGCCAGGACAGCAGTGGCTGTACAAGAGGTGGGGCTGGGAAGACATGAAATAAACACAGGTGGCTGATACTCAAGGTCATATGGCTATTCGATACTTAAAATCAGGCCTGCATGACTGCAAGGCTAGGGTGCCTTCCATAATTCAGATGAGTTCCCAAGAAGGTATTTGGCTTTGTGGAATTTATGCATGAGTTTATTACCCTTGGCAATTAGATGGGGATCTGGTATTGATTTTACATTATATCAGATGTGGAGCATTATATACTCACTCTTTGTATATCCGTGGGCATGAATTCTTCCCCTATTAACCTCCAAAATGGGCTTGAAAATAAATACATTAAATATAGGACTCTAGAACAGCGCTACCGAATAGAAAAGTAATGTGAGCTATGTGTGCAATTTCAAATTTTTTAATATCTATATAAAAATTTAAAAAACGGGTGAAATTATTTTTCATAGTCTATTGTATTCAATCCACTGTTTCCATGTATTGTCATTTCAATATGTAATCAATAAAATATGATTGTTGGGATATTTTGCATTATTTCATTGTTGTTTTATACTAAGTCTTCAAAACCTGGTGTGGATTTCACACTTAAAAGCCCACGTCAGTTCAGATTGGCTATACTTCAAATGTTCAAGAGCCACATGTGGCTCATATTACCATTTTGGATAGTGCAGCTCTAGGATATTTTCCGCTTATGAAATGAAGGAGTTAATCTATGAAAGGCAATACCATTGCACTTTTCCTTGGGATGAGATGGATTAGGGAGGATTTCTATATACTCTCTTGACATTATGACTTTGGTCTATATTATTTTTCTCGGAAATAAACAAAATGTCAATTTGACAAGGTTCATGGCTAGAAATGATTAAAACAGTAATTCAAAGACAAACCAAGCCATACATGAATCTAATATTTCAGGGTTTATTTCCCCTGTTCACATGCCTTTAAACTGCAGGTTGGGTCATTTTTAACTTAAAAAAGGGAAAGAAAAGGTCTTACACATTCAAGCTTACTACATATGGTCAACAATATAAGATACTCTTAACGTGAGTTACAAACAAGGTATCTTTTCCACGTGAATTATAATATGTAAAAATGTTTGCCTTTGCTCCTATAAAATGCTATTTTTTTCTTTAAATGGGTTTATATTTCATATAAAACACAGGTGTTTTATCTGATAAGACATTTGACAGAGGTAGGTATTAGAGTGGTTTAAAGGACAGAATTTACAGATGGATCTGGGTTCAAATTCCAGCTTTACCTCTTACTGTGTGTAAACTTGAGCCAGTTTCTTCACCTCTTTGAGCCTCAATACTGTCTATTTATAGAGTTTTAGTAAGAATTAAAGAAGACAGGATATGTCAGAAATAGTTCCTGGTACCTGGTCAACACTCAATAAACGGCAGCTTTTACTGCTGGTGAACAAAAATCTAACAATAGGTAGACTGCATAACATTTACCTTGCCTACAACATTTCTCACAGTCTATCAGTTAAGAAACATTTGTAACTGATGTATGGAGCCATGAATTACCATGAGTGCCACTAAATTCTACAGCATTCAGAAATTTACCAATAAAAGGGTCATTTTCCATTCAATGCTCGGCAAATTATTCATAAAAATCCATAGGCTCAAAGCAACCTGGCTGAGAAGGGTTTTTTTTCTTCTGTTCTTTTGTCTCTTAATCCCCACACTGTGGCCTGGTTCCCATTACAGCTGAAATTAGCACTTTAATTTCCACATTATCTCCTTTATATTAGAGATGAATAATGTGCTAGAATAAAAAGGGGGATCTTGAGGGGAATTACCAAAGATGAAAAAAGTATTATGCTTCTTCCTGAGCAGCTTTTATATCCTGCACTGAATTATTACTGGTGAAGGAGAATACGTCTCAGCCATTCAGTCTAGAGCCAAATCAGAAGCTATCCCTCTGGGAGACAGAAGTCTCCTGAGATAAACCTCCTGCAGTACTTGCCCCACATCTCTTCACTACCCGCTTCAGGCCAAGTGGTTTAAGTATACTTGTCTTTGAATAAAATGCTATCGATCCCATAGTTCTAACAATAATAATAACTGCTAAAATTGTTTCAAACTCTGCCTATGAACCAAACATTGTGCTAAGTGTTCCAGACGCACTGATTCATTTATTTGACCCTGCAAAGTGTGTGAAACATGCAGAAACTGAAGCACAGGAGTCTAGTGACTTGTTCCAAATGACAGTCTCTAAGTGGTAGGACCAGGGTTCCAAGGGAGACATTTTGACACAGGCTCACATCCAGCAACACAGCACAAAGTACAAAGGAGACCCAAAAGAGGTACAACCTTCCAACAAGTTCTGCTGGCTCTACTTCCAAAACACATCCCCTATCCATTCGCTTTGCTCTGTCTTCACCAAAACATCATAGTCTAAGCCACCACCAACTTTTGTCCAGAGAACTGCAATGCCTTCCAACTACTCTCTCCACTTTAATTCTTTTCCTCTCACTGCCACTGTTCCACACAGCAGCTCAGTGAACATTTCTGAACAGAAATCAGACTCTGGGGGTGTCTGGATGGCTCAGTTGGTTGAGCACCCAACTCTTGACTTCAGCTCAGGTCATGATCTCTTGGTTCGTGGGTTCGAGCCCTTCATCAGGCTCTGTGCACTAATGGTGCAGAGCCTGCTTGGGATTCTCTCTCTCCTTCTCTCTGCCCCTCCTCTACTCATGCATACACACTCTGTCTCTCTCCATTTCTCTCTCTAAAAATAACTAAACTAAATAAAAAAAGAAATCAGACTGTGTTCTAATTTTGCTCCAATGCACAAAGTCTTCTGCTAGTTTCCTCACCTTCTTAGAGTAAATCCAAAGTCTTTATCATGCTTTTTAAAACTGAGCATAGTCTGGATTCTGCCAAGCTCCTCCCCTCATCTCTTCCAACTCCCCTCACTCATCATTTTGTCCTTTTTTCCCCTCAAGTATGTAGAGCTCATTCTTTAGGGCCTTTGCACCTGCCGTTCCTTCTGCCAGGCACACTCATGCATCTCATCTTCAAATGGCTGAATATCTCTTGTCATGGGGGCTGTTGGCAAAGGTCATCTCTAAGAGACCTTTTCTCATGACCCAGGCTAAAAGCCATCCACTCCTTTCTCCGCTTCCCCATTTGCTGTCTACACAACATGACCCCATTTTATTTCCTTCATAACACATCTCTGTGCCAAGTCATTTGTCTGTTTCTCTGTGAATTTCTTTGTTTTCTACCTTTCCTCTGTCCCTAGCAGAATGTGGAGTTATATAAAACAGAGACCTTGGCTATCATATTTACCTCTGTGCCTGCTGGGCCTACAACATGACCTGGCACATGATAAGCATTTATTTAGTAAAAATTTTACATAAAAAAATGAATAAATTATTTAATTAATTATGTGACAAAAAGCAGTCACCTTTTAGCATGTAGTTCTCTGGAGTCCTTCTATCAATATCAACAAGGCAGTGAGAAACGGGGTATAACAGGGATAGACAGAGAAGTTATAAATGATTAATTTCAAAACGAAACAGGGACCCAGACAAAATGTGGTTTATGTTGTTGACATTTTTCCTGTGCTTCCTACTATATCTCTTCTACAGCACTATATCATTTCTGCTCTCTCCTCTTATCTTGAATAAAAAAAAATTGAGAGTTTATATATCAGGTACTGGGGTAGATACTTGGCTACAGAAATATATAAGGAATCCTAAAGAAGGTTCTATGTGTTCACACAAATAATAATGACACAGATGCCCTTTATGTGGTTTATAAAAAGTGTTTTTGAATGATAGGACATTGAGTAATAATGAAGAAAGTTCTAAAGAACCTTAATTGCAAGGGAAATAATCCTACTATAAAAGTTTTTGCAAGAATATGACATAGCTAAAATATTTTTAAATGCATTGAAAATTACTACTAGTAATTTTTAAAAAAACTTTTTAAGTGTTTTTTTCATTTTTTTGAGAGACAGAGAGAGACAGAGCATAAGCAGCAGAGAGGTAGAGAGAGAAGGAGACACAGAATCCGAAGCAGGCTCCAGGCTCTGAGCTGTCAGCACAGACCCCGACACAGGGCTTGAACCCAAGAACTGCAAGATCATGACCTGAGCCGAAGTCAGATGCTTAACCAACTGAGCCACCCAGGAGCCCTCCCTTTTTAAAAATTTTTTTAAATGTTTATGAAAATTACTACTAATAATTTTTAATGGAGGAAATAATAACTACAAATACACTTTCTTTCTCTTCTTTTTCTTCTGGTTCTAAATCAATCAGTTTAAGTTCACTTATGCTTCACAAAGAAATGACCCCAATACTGTTTTTGTCTCTTTTCTTCGTGTCTGCCTTCTTGTTAGATACAGCCCTCTCCCATACTCTTATCTTTCTTATCCATGACTGCAGGGTAAGCTCTCAGTCCAGTCTCCTGACAGAGGTAAAAACAAATGGCTTTTTATTAAAGGTGGCACAGGCACTTCCCTCACTTTTCGTTGGTCTAAACAAGCCACAAGGCTATACCTTGCGTTCATAGGGAAGAACTGCATTCTTCTGAATATTTAGAGAGGCCCCAAATAGTTAGAAAAATAGTCCAGCACAGGTCCTTTCGTACTCTGTAAGTTTTCTGCAATGACTGTATATAATATTAAAACAAAAACATCTGAGATGTAGATTTTTAAATACTCTTACTTCTCTTTAGCTGGAAACACATTTAGCTACAATAATACAAAATTTGACTTTCAAGGGCTTAAAAAATAAAGGCTATTCTCTCACATAATAAAAAATATGAGGTTAGGTGGTTTCCATTGGTTGAGCAACCCTGTTACATTAGAGTCAACTTTCTATCAATTTTCTAGACTTTTCTCTCAAACTTACAGCCCATTTTCACAGATGGCAGCTACTGTGATGGGTCTAACATCTTCAATGAAGGAAAGAGGAAAAGGAGATAAGACAGGGAAAGCAGTCACATTACTGTCTTTGTAGAAAAAGCAAAGAATTCTTCAGACATTCCCCCAGGAGATTTACCCTCCTATCCTATTGGCCAGAAATGGATCTTATGACCACTTCCAGATACAATGAAGCTTAGGAAAGCAGGGAAAAGTATTGCTGGTTTAGACTGGTTTAGAACAATCATGATCTTTCCAAGGGTGTGGCATATCACTGCCATAAACAGAGTCTGGGTTGTGTAAGCAAAGAAGAGTTAGAAGCTGGTTACTGGCTATGTGTCTGCATCAGAAGCCGAGAGAGGGTATAGTTCATCCTGTTAAGTGAACCAGGTGGACGTTTTAGCTGGACATGGAAGGATATTGGGATTGTGCCCCATAGAGCAGAAGAGTGGTATTTCATAGAAGAGGTACAGCATAAGCTTTAGCAGGATGCTGACTAGTTATTCTGATATTACTATAGTGTACATTGTGGAATTGTCAAGACAGAGTAGAAGCTGGGGAGAGAGGATAGGACCAGATGATAGATAATAATAATAGTTTGCATTTATTGGGTGCTTACTGTAGATGAGATACTTTTACCTCCATCATTTCATTAAATTTTCATAATTCCATGAGTGCTACTATTTCCCCCTCATTCTACATATCCTGTTAGGTAACCTGCTCAAGATCATACAGCTTATAAGGGATAGAGCTAGCATTGAACCTGGTCTACATTGTAACGATTAAGAGCACATGCTCTGGAGTCAGACTGCCCTCAGTTTGCACCCAACCTCTCACCTCACTTACACCCTGATCCTTACTTCACTTCTTCCTACAGTGACCCCCAAGGAAGTGCCTTGTAACCTCTGAACACAAACTAAAAGCCAGTATGGTAGAGAACTCTTGCATGTGTAGAGAAGAGAATAAACGAGGAATGGCCTGGCAGTGGGAAGGTTAATACAGAGACTGAATCATCCAAGAAGATGCTTCTCTTTGTCTGCATCTCTCAAATCAGAGCAAAAGGGAGACTGTTAAGTTCAAAATATTTGTTCCCCCCTCCAGCCAATTTGCATTATTGAACATATACAAGAAAGCATATGAGCCCATGGCTGGGCTATAACTCATCTACTACAAGAGAGGAGATGAGCTTAACAATAAGGCTTCCCAGAAGCCTTTCAAGCATCAGTTTAGCGGCTTAAAATGTGCTGCCTGGAACACTCATAAATACTGGCAATCCGCATAATACACCTTTACTTCTTCATAGCAACTTTAACCATGATGGAAAATGAGGCTTCTAGAATTCAACAGAATTTGCAACCACATGGTCTTCTACTTATTTCAGAATATGAAGATTTCCCTTCAGCATCCACTTTCTTCATCCAGATCCATTAGATTCTTTTATAAAAAATCTAACTTCTCCCCCCTCCACAGTCTTTTAAAAGGCAAAAGCATATAGCCGTAATCAAACTCTGTAAAATAATAATGTGTGAATATTCTAATTTTCTCCCTAAGATCTAAACAATTTCAGTGTTCCACTTTATTTTAGGGTGGGTTAAGTCAGTGTTTCTTAATTGAACACTATTGTGTTGGCAACCTTGGCCACCAGTAACACCCCCAATCATTGTGATAGTCAAAAAATTAATAATAAATGCCCGTGCACATTCCTAAGCACCCCCTACAGAGGCATTTCTCCTTCTCTCTTCTTCTGTCTTGAAAAACATTGTTTGAACTGTGACAGAATTAGGACAGAGTTTTGGTTCTGTCTGTCTATAGGAAATGAATTGATTTTCATAGCCATAAAATAGGCATAGTAGTATCTATCTAATTGTATGGATCAAATGAAATATGTAAAACAGAACACTTTATACATACTCAAGTACACAGTCCCATCCAGGTGAATATGCTAGCTTGAATCAAGCATAGCATCTCAACATTTTTTCTTCCTTCCCCAAGAAATGCTTAGATAGGCGAACCAAGTTTTAATTCACTGTTCCATTCTGCACTGCCATGTTCTAGCCTCTGTTCATTTAAGAAATTAGATAACTTGAAGCAATATTTTCAAAAATTGAATATAGCTATATTCAATATATATTCAATATACCAATAATATAATGGTATAATGTGAAGATACTATAGAAATAATAATAGAAAAGAGGGTAAAGTCCATTCTGGAAAAAGTGAGAATTATAGATCAGTAATGTCATAGGATTCTAGAAAGTTTGGTCTCCTCAATTAATGGATTCAAAGCATGGAAAGTGATCTTTTAGGATCACTTATAGAGAGCATTCTTTCAATGAGTAGGAAGTTAAACCAGATCATCTAAAAGGTTCATACAATTTCTAAAAGTTTTTTAAAACTTTTATGATTAGATCGGTCCAATCTCTAGTATTAAAAATGTGAATGGCTTTAAATTATTCTAGCCTAAAGTATCCCTTTATGTATTGTGATAACTATACACAATAGCCTAAAGGTGATTCACTCTTTTGAGTTGATAACTGTTTGTAAACAAAATGTGGCTTCTATCCACTGAGTTATACTTATATATTCAAAGACATACAAGCATTTTTGTCACAAAGATTTAACTAAGCAAACAATATGTGGGGGTATTTACAAAAGTTCAGCTCCTTTCCAAAAGCAATGAAAATAAAGAAAAGGAAAAAAGGGATCTTTTTTAACACCTTGTTGAATATGCTAATTTTAGTTTAGATTTCAGTTTTGTATAAAACTGTTCCAGGAGCAAAAAAACATTTCCTTAATAGAAAAATTCACTCTGCTGAGTATTTCCTGTTACTCCTCCAAGATATTCCCCATCTTGCTTTGGATCTGGTAGGTAAAGCTTTATAGACGGTCAGCTGGGCTCTTGGCTTTCTGTATTCTATTTGTCTCCAACAGGAGAGAACAGCAGGATATGGATGCATAGGAGGGAAAGGAGAGAGAAGCATTTCTTCTGCCTCCTTCATTGTGTGGTCAGGGCAGCCGACTGCATTCCTCAGCTAAATGCCACAGATTTTACCTGGCAATCCTCGCTTATTGCTATATCTAGTCTCTCTAGATTCTACTACCCCTCCCTATCACATCCTTTTAGGTGTAGGGTGTTAAAACTCCCCACTATTACTAGCCCTAGAGGATTTACCCATTGCTTTCCCTAAACTCTGTGATAAGTCCTTTATTAAACATTTCTCAGTTAGCAATTTCGAGCATGTCACCCATTCCCTGATGGAACTCTGACTGATACATTCATTCACCTTTGAAATTTGCTACAAAATCATTTGATGACAACAATGGTGGGTCATTTGCAGCACAATGGTTCCAGGTGTTGGGGTTGGAAATCAGATGCTTCCGTTGAAAGCATGACTCAACCATTTACATGCCATGGTTATGTAAATGGCATACTTAGCCATTTACTTCTTAGCTTTTCCACATCTCAGTTTCTCATCTATAAAGCAGAATGGATACCAATAGTAACTACTTCATAGTGCTATTTTGAGCACTGAAATGGTTTAAAGGTTGCCTGGAACATAGTAAATCCTTACAAATGTGGACTACCTTTTTTATGTTTTCATACATCCTGTATTATCCTGGGTAGTAGGCACTGAAATAGTGGTAAAAATAACAATATATTTCAAGGCGCCTGGGTGGCTCAGCCGGTTAAACGACCGACTTCGGCTCAAGTCGCGATTTGTGGGTTTGCCCCTCTCCCCCCCTGCCCCCATCGGGCTCTGTGCTGACAGCTAGCTCAGAGCCTGGAGCCTCTCTTCAGATTCTGTGTCTCTCTCTCTCTCTGACCCTTCCCATCCCCCCCTGCCCCTGCTTGCCCCCCCCCTCAAAAATAAATAAAACATTAAAAAATTTAAAAAAACCCAAAACATGGGAAGCCTGGGTGGCTGGTAGGTTAAGCATCTGACTTCGGCTCGGGTCATGATCTCACAGTCCGTGGGTTCGAGCCCCCCGTCGGGCTCTGTGCTGACAGCTAGCTCAGAGCCTGGAGCCTGTTTCAGATTCTGTGTCTTCCTCTCTCTCTGACCCTCTCCCACTCACTCTCTGTCTCTCAAAATAAAATAAAGACATAATTTTTTTAAATTTAAGAAAACAGTAAATCTAAAGATTAGTGATTAGTGTAGGTGATCATCATTTCAGTGTTTCTGTTCAACATTTGAAATTGAAGACAAATACATTGGACTAATTTCCTTTGAATCTTGGGTGCTATTTTTAAAATCATTATTCAAAATTCAGCTATGGTATTATTTCACTCATATATAGAATGTAGGAAACAAAACAAATGAGTAAAGGGAAAAAAAGAGAGAAAGAAACCAAGAAACAGACTCTTAAGTATAGAGTACAAACTGATCATTACCATAGGAGAGGTGGGTGGAGGGATGGGTGAAATAGGTGATAGGGATTAAGGAGTGTCCTTGGCAGATGAGCACTGGGTGATAAATGGAATTGTTGAACTGTACACCTAAAACCAATATAATACTGTATGTTCACTATACTGGAATTAAAATTAAAAATAAAATAAAATTTTAAACAATTAAAAAAATAAAATTCAGCTATGGTGGCAAATTACATTGTAATCGGTGAAACACTCATGTATTAGTGAGAAAAATTGGTAGCATATTGAAATGAGTTAATTGAGAAGAGTTTAACAAACGGTCTATGTATAAGGGTCTGGGAAAGGTTAAAAGAAACCTGCAAGGAAGGGTGAAATGTCCCAATGTCAACAACATCTAGGAACGGTCACCATCCTTAAGCTTGAAAGAACAATGGGGAAGATATGAGGAAGAATAGGTTATGGGAACTTTGAGACATCTGTGCCTATAACTGTAGGGAGAGGAGCCAGGGAAACAGAACCTGAACTTACTTTATTCTCACCTTCCAATCTTCTACTGATGCCTCCCCCTCAGGAAAAGGTAAGGGAACTTCAGTCCATAGAAGGTAGCTTCCCAGGAAACAGAACTGGGTATAGAAGCATAGAGGGGTGGGACACGGATATGGAAAGACAAATTTTAGAATGCCTAAGACAACATATACGACCAA